GGAGACAGACTTCACAGCCAGATGATGGATTTATCATTTGGGCTGTAGAACGTGCACAACTCAGTTTTCCCATCCTAAAGACAGGGATATAAAGAACATCCGTCTCACACAGTGGTTATGAGGGTGGCGTGGCATCTGTAGGCCTTCCCAGGATGCCTAATTCTAGAAGCGATGGCTTCCCTTAGGATGGTTTTAATTTTTAAAAGCTTTGGGAAAGAAAGGCACAGAGGAGGAAAGGAAGTCACCCATAACCTCATCCCCTAGCGATTACCATTTAAAAAGTTCTGATACAAACCTCCTGTATTTTCCATGTGCAGACCTATAGATACTTCATTCACTCAATATCCTCTGTGATCATTTTCCCACTCCTATAAGTACTTTCTTTAAACAGTGATACTTTATATTGTCTTAGGGAACTCTATGCAGTATCATTTATTTAGAGAGCCCCTTCTTTCACCAGATTATTTCCGTCTTCTTTTTTTTTTTTTCCTGTTGAAAATGTTGTGATGAATAATACTGTATCTCCGCCGTGTATCTTGGGTTGTTTCCTAGAATTGGGGAATTGCTGAGTCAAAGGGCATGTGTGTTTTTTGAGGCTGTTGATACCTATTGCCAGATTGCCTTCAGGAAAATGGTGCTCCGTTACTGGCCTTCCAGGAGAGCAAGCAGGCTGCTCCTGGCAGATGGTGCTCCCTGACTAGCCCTCCAATAGAGCAGAGCAGGCTGCTCCTGGAGGATGGTGCTCCCTGGCTGGTCCTCTAGCAGAGCAGAGCAGGCTGCTTGTGGAGGATGGTGCTCCCTGGTTGGCCCTCCAGGAGAGCAAGCAGGCTGCTCGTGGAGGATGGTGCTCCCTGGCTGGCCCTCCAGCAGAGCAGGGCAGGCTGCTCGTGGAGGATGGTGCTCCCTGGCTGGCCCTCCAGCGCAGCAGAGCAGGCTGCTCCTGGAGGATGGTGCTCCCTGGCTGGCTCTCCAGTTGAGCAGGCTGCTTGTGGAGTATGGTGTTCCCTGGCTGGCGGTCCAGCAGAGCAAGCAAGCTGCTCGTGGAGGATGGTTTGCCTGCTACTTCACTTCTCTCTGGCATGCAGCACGGATTACTCGCGGAGGCAACAGTTTCTCGCAGTCTGGATTCTCTGTTTTTCTCTTCTTCCCCTTTGTTTCTTTTCTTGGTTTTCTGCCAAACAGCCTCTTGTGAAAGGACCGCCTAATTAACCCTGTGCTAATTAACAATTTAAAATTACACAGTGTGACTGTTCGTGTTTAATTCTCTGGGAGCTGGAGCAACAGCAGGAACCCCTCCCCTCTCTAACAACTATATCCTGCCCCCCGCCCAGCTTCCCAGTAACTGTTGCATTGTACCAGTCCTGTCTCCTTAAAGCAGTGTCAGAAAATTGTCCTAGCACATCTTCTTGGTTGAAAGAGGGAGATGAATGACCTTGTTAGCGGTGAGGCCTGGGGTAATAGGGAGACTTATCATTTTAAACAATCTTTGGTAAATAAAGGCTGATACAGGGGAGCTTCCCAGGTAGGTTCCAGGGGGACTGTAACTTGTGACAGGAGCAGGGGTGGGGGCTTTTGATGATGATGTTGGAACTTTCTGTACAAGACTACTTCTCACATGGCAGATTTAAACACTAAGAGAGAATGAGTGTGAGAGAACTAGATCACTCCTATATCTGCCATTGAACGTCTTACTGGAAAGATGTGCTCTTTTGAAATCTAACCGATGTCTTAAAACCATGCACAGACCATGTTGAGTACCATACTGGGAGGTCATGAGTAGAGTGTGTCTGTGTTTGGAAGGGAATTTGGGGTCACAAGCAGCAGAAGACAAGCAGGCTGCAGGAAGGGTTGTAAGTTGGTATGCGTGAGCTGGCCCTGGCACGAGTGAAGGGTGAGGGGATGGGGTGCAGAGCTCGGGGTGGGGTGTGAGGGTCTCAATGGAGGCTGCCGGTGGGCCTGCGTGTGAGCGCGTGGGGACCTGCTGGGTTCCCAGGCTGCCCTCTGTAACTGAAGATCATTGATTTTACGGGAAACCGTGTTTACAGACAGAGTGCTGATCGACCTGCCGAGTTGACTTCTGCCTCCTTAAGTAAGAACTACCTTTTTCTTATTGACTGGCTGATAAACAGAGCGAGAGGGACAGCCGGTCGGGTGGGAGAGTTCTGGAGAGCCTGAGGTCCTTGAGCTGAAGGATTGGGCAGGTTTAAGGGATTGCTTCATCTCTACCCTCAGGTCCCTTCTCTGCACCTCCCACCCCATCCATGCACCTCCCCGGAATCGGTGGGGGAATCTAAGACCAATCCTGCCTGGCTACCTAGCAGTCCAGGCATCAAGCATGGAAAAGATGGCAATCTGGTGAAGATGTTGTGAAGCAGAGAGTGTCTCAAGCTTTAATGCCTGTCCCCAGGGGATCATGTTAAAATGCAGATCCTGATCTGGAGCGGGGCCTGAGAGACTGCATTTCACAGGCGCCCTGGTGAAGAATGACGCTACTTGTCCCAGAAGCACACCTCACTTAGCAAGGTAGAAATGGTTCTGCCTGTTGTGGCCAGCATGCATTGAAAGGAAGCCCAGAGCCTCGATCCTGAAGTGGACCCTTCTATCCCACTGGTGTCTTAATGGGCTGTCGTCACTCTGTGTGAATGAGTGGTATTCCACGTGTCCTCTCTGATGGGGCAGGTGGCACCACCACGGGGTCATCTGTCTTTTATAGGTGGCCACAGTGTCATCCTTGCTGGACACCTTTTGCTTGGGAACAGAAAAGTTAGGCAAGTTTTTGTAGGTCCCGACTGCCTAGCTGGATGGCTTGTGGAGGAGGAGGTAAGAGAGAGCTGAACAAGAAAAGCCCACCAATTAATTGGTAAACGCTTGCAGGTTTCTCTGGCCTAGCCCAGGCTGGAGAGGAGATTGGCTTTGCTGTCGATACTCAAGTCCCTAGTGAAGCATCAAAGCTGTTCTCCTTTATCAATCGTGGCCTCCCCTTCCAGCATGTTCCTGTAACTTACCAAGCATTTATGACATTGATTTTACAATCGGGCTGTTAACCCTCCCGCCCCTTCAGCCTGCCAACCTTTTTGGCCTGAGCTGTCAATCAGATGTCGTCCAGCCAATCAGGCGCATCCTTAAGAAGAGCCACCCTGGATTCTCACCTGTATCCCAGCTAAGCCTTCTGAAGTCCCATCGCATTTGCTGTGTGGTTTGGTTTCATGTAGTTATCTCTGTTTAAAATCAATGTGCCTTTTCTAAGGCACACGGAACTTTGTTGTAATGGAATTTGAGGTTATAAGCTTGAGAGGTGCCGTGTGTGTGTGTGTGTGTGTGTGTGTGTGTGTGTGTGTGTTGAACAAAACAGGACACGTTTTTCCAAAGCTATTTCTCCAGAGACTTCGGGTAAACCTGCCTTTCCTGTCTTTTCCCGAGGGGGAGCTGTTGGCTTACTGTGCAGTCAAGAATCAAGAAATGAAAAAGAATGGAACATAGGGGTGGGGTGGGGAAGGAGAGAGACCAAACCCGGCCAAAACCTTCCTCCGATGTGTATGAATGAGATGTTGGGTGGAGAAGCAGCCAAATGTTCTCCAGGAAGGAGGTGTAGGGGGGAGTGTGGCCTGGGATTTGCAGCTGAACAATCGGGGCCGTCCAAGAGGCTGAGTCGACTGTAGGATCCATGCCGGGATGGAAGAAATGCCCCTGTGATGATGTGGCCACAGGAGCAGAGCGATGGCGGGGGATCTGATGCCTCCCTCCCCAGGGATGCGAAGTCTCAGAGGGCAGATTCAGCTCTGTGGCACTCCAGTCGGAAGCAGAAAAGCCCCGGGGCTGAAGGACAGCTGCTTGAGCAGCTACTAATAACTACGAGGCAGGTGTGGAATGGGGGCCGGTGGAGCCCAGCTGCCGTCTCGGCTTGCCGCTAGGATCCCTGACAGCAGAAACCGCCACACCAGTGGTGACCGGGCTCCATCCAGACAGGGCAAGATCGACGCTGCCGGAGGGGGAGCCGGCCAGTTGAGAGTCTTCCCAGATACGTCAAGCTCAGATTTTGCACCATCACGTTTTTAGTCTGAAGCCAGCTCACTCACAAGCAGGAGTGCTCGCTCAGTGGGTTCAGGGGGGCGGGGTTGGAGATGGGATTTTGGAGATCTGCCATCTGCTTCACAGTGTCGGGGCGGCATTGGGCCTGTTTGTAGATTTAGCTCCTCAGTGTTACTGTTTGTACAATGGGATGATGCTTCCCAGATCCACAGAGGATGAAAGCAGGCATAGGACCTGTCGAGGGCCTGCAGAGCGTGTCTGGGCCCTGCAGGCTTGCTCTCTGAGCCCTGCAGCCCTCCATCACTTTCCTTTGAACTTCTCAAACTAGACGTTTGGCCAGTAAGAGCAACAGCAGCAGCTTCACCTCTAAATCAGCTAGCGTATCCTCTTGCAGGTTTACCAGCCTTCTCTGGGGGTGCAAAACCTTTCTCCTCTCGTCCATCCTTCCCTGTTGGTGTCCCCTTGCCCCACAGACAGCGTGGGCAGCCGGCAGTGACTTTGAGCTGGCCATCTCTATTCGGTAGGGCCGCCATTCTGCGTCCTTGGTGGGGCCTGGCAAGATAATGTGGCCCTCTTCCTCTGCTGTGGCTCGAGGCCCAGCACCGACTCTCACACCGTGCTCGCAAAGAACAGAAATTCGAACCGGTCTCCAGGGGGAGAGGAGCCGACAGTCTGAAGACAAGGAGGGAGTCTCCTGTCTGCCCCCCCCCCCCCCGTCCCCATGCTCCCCACTCATGCCACGGACCCTGGCCGTCATGCCTCGGGCTCTCACCCGCCCTCTGCGCGTTCATTGGACGACGTGGGGGAGATGGCCGGGGTCCCTGCTGCCCTGGCGGTCTCTGTTGTGGGTGTGGACAGAAGCCTGTTAGAGTGCTCTGTGCGGGACCTAGCCTCGGCCCTCCTAACCTCTTTCCTTTCTCTCTCTCTTCCCCCTCTCTCCCTCCTCTCCCCCCCTTGCCTCCGCTCTTCAGGTCCGATCCGTACTGGGTGCAATGAAAGCTCTACGCAGGCCTTACCATGGAAGGCTGTGACTCGCCCGTCGTCTCGGGGAAGGACAATGGGTGCGGTATCCCTCAGCACCAGCAATGGACTGAACTCAACAGCACCCACCTCCCCGACAAACCCAGTAGCATGGAGCAGTCCACAAGCGAGAACCACGGGCCCCTGGACAGCCTGAGGGCCCCCTTCAATGAGCGCCTCGCGGAGAGCTCCGCCTCGGCCGGCCCCACCGCCGAGCCCGCCGGCAAGGAGGTCAGCTGCAACGGGTGCTCGGCCTCCTTCGCCAGCCTGCAGACCTACATGGAGCACCACTGTCCCAGCGCGCGCCCCCCGCTGCCCCTGAGGGAGGAGAGCGGGAGCGACACCAGTGAGGAGGGGGACGAGGAGAGTGATGTGGAGAACCTGGCTGGGGAGATAGTCTACCAGCCCGATGGCTCGGCCTACATTGTCGAGAGCCTGAGCCAGCTGACCCAAAGCGGGGGCGCCTGTGGCAGCGGCAGCGGGCCCCCCCCCCTCGCTCTTCCTGAACTCTCTCCCCGGGGCGGGGGGCAAACAAGGGGACCCTTCTTGTGCTGCACCAGTCTACCCACAGATCATCAACACTTTCCACATAGCCTCATCCTTCGGGAAATGGTTTGAGGGCCCAGACCAGGCTTTCCCGAATACCTCAGCCCTGACGGGGCTCAGCCCCGTCCTGCACAGCTTCCGCGTGTTTGACGTGCGACACAAAAGCAACAAGGATTACCTGAACAGCGACGGCTCCGCCAAAAGCTCCTGCGTATCCAAAGATGTTCCCAACAACGTGGACCTGTCCAAATTCGATGGCTTTGTGCTCTACGGCAAGAGGAAGCCCATCCTGATGTGCTTCCTGTGCAAACTCTCCTTCGGGTACGTCCGTTCGTTTGTGACCCACGCGGTGCACGACCATCGAATGACCCTGAGTGAAGACGAGCGGAAAATTCTTAGCAATAAGAACATCTCCGCTATCATCCAAGGGATTGGCAAAGACAAGGAACCCCTTGTGAGTTTTTTGGAACCAAAAAACAAAAACTTTCAACACCCTTTAGTTTCTACGGCTAACCTCATAGGCCCCGGACACAGTTTTTATGGGAAATTTAGTGGCATTCGGATGGAAGGGGAGGAGGCTCTCCCAGCCGGCTCTGCTGCCGGCCCCGAGCAGCCCCAGGCTGGTATCTTGACCCCCAGCACCCTCTTGAACCTTGGCGGGCTCACCAGCTCGGTCCTGAAGACCCCCATTACCTCAGTCCCCCTGGGGCCTCTGGCCTCCAGTCCTACCAAATCCTCAGAGGGCAAGGACTCTGGGGCAGCAGAAGGAGAGAAGCAAGAAGTAGGCGATCCGGATTGTTTCTCCGAGAAAGCGGAGCCAGCCGAGGAGGAGGCAGAGGAGGAAGAGGAGGAAGAAGAGGCAGAGGAGGAGGAGGAAGAAGAAGAGGAGGAAGAAGAGGAGGAGGAAGACGAGGGTTGCAAAGGACTCTTTCCAAGCGAGTTGGACGACGAACTGGAGGACAGGCCCCACGAGGAGGCTGGGGCCGTGGCAGGTAGCAGCAGCAAAAAGGACCTTGCTCTCTCAAACCAAAGCATTTCTAACTCCCCCTTAATGCCTAATGTGCTCCAGACCCTGTCGAGGGGCACAGCTTCTACTAGTTCTAATTCTGCTTCTTCCTTTGTTGTCTTTGATGGTGCGAACAGGAGGAATCGTTTAAGCTTTAACAGTGAGGGCGTCAGGGCCAATGTGGCAGAGGGCGGCAGGAGGCTGGACTTTGCTGACGAAAGTGCCAATAAAGACAATGCCACAGCACCAGAACCAAATGAAAGCACAGAGGGCGACGATGGGGGCTTTGTCCCCCATCACCAGCACGCTGGCTCCCTCTGCGAGCTTGGGGTTGGGGAATGCCCCTCGGGGAGCGGCGTGGAGTGCCCCAAATGCGACACGGTCCTGGGCTCCTCCCGCTCGCTGGGCGGCCACATGACCATGATGCATTCTCGTAACTCATGTAAGACACTTAAGTGCCCCAAGTGCAACTGGCACTACAAGTACCAGCAGACACTGGAGGCTCACATGAAGGAGAAGCACCCAGAGCCGGGGGGCTCCTGTGTCTACTGCAAAAGCGGGCAGCCCCACCCTCGGTTGGCACGAGGTGAGAGCTACACTTGTGGTTACAAGCCTTTCCGCTGTGAGGTGTGTAACTACTCCACAACTACCAAAGGCAACCTCAGTATTCATATGCAGTCCGACAAGCATCTCAACAACATGCAGAACCTGCAGAACGGAGGGGGGGAGCAGGTGTTCAGCCACTCGGCCGGGGCGGCGGCGGCGGCGGCGGCGGCCGCGGCCGCAGCGGCCAACATCGGCAGCTCCTGCGGGGCCCCCTCGCCCACCAAACCAAAAACCAAACCCACCTGGCGGTGCGAGGTGTGCGATTACGAGACCAACGTGGCCAGGAACCTGCGCATCCACATGACCAGCGAGAAGCACATGCATAACATGATGCTGCTGCAGCAGAACATGTCCCAGATTCAACACAACCGCCACCTGGGCCTCGGCAGCCTGCCCTCGCCCGCCGAGGCCGAGCTTTACCAGTACTACCTGGCCCAGAACATGAACCTGCCCAACCTGAAGATGGACAACACTGCCTCAGACGCCCAGTTCATGATGAGTGGATTCCAGCTGGATCCCGCCGGGCCCATGGCCGCCATGACGCCTGCTCTAGGTGAGGCTGACTCCGTGTTTGTTTGTTCTGGTGACTTGAGTTTAACTGGGGAGAACCGAGAATAGACTGAGGTCCTGTGGATTCGGCTGATGCTGATTTTCTCCAGAGTGGTGTTGTATACACTCGAGTGTCTGACTGTCAGGTGTTTTTCTCAAGGACCCCTTGTGTGCCTGTGGGGGGTCGTATGTATTCAGCACCCACACGTGGTAATACTCCGGCTGCACAGGCTGGGATTAAAGTTGAAGGGTTTCCTCTAGTTTTTGGCTTCTGGTCAACTTCCCTTTCTCTTCCCTTCTTCTCTTTCTTCATCTCTTTCTCAATTTGAAAAATCGCCCCAATTATCTGAAACTTCTGGGTTCCATTAGATATTTACTGTAATCTACAGGAAACTGCCGTTCAAGTTGTAAACAGGGACAGTCCTCTCCATAAGAACGACTCGAAATCACAGTGTACCTTATTCAGATAACTGAACGCTGGGTTCTGTGCCGAGCAGGGAGCCATCCAGATAAGTGCTCAAAGTTCTCGGGTGTGTTCACGAGGATCTCCGTGAAAGAGACGCGTTCTTTTCTTTTTTGTTTTGCGTGAGTTGTCGCTGATAAGTATAGTTGGGAATTAAATTGCCCCGGGGCACCATAAAGAGTGGTGTGCTAAAAAAAAAAAAAAAAAAAAAAAAAAGAGTGGTGTGCTAGACGAAAAATGAATACATTCTAAAATTGTACATCAAAGAAAGTTGAATTCTAATATCCATTAGATGATGGTTAATGGAGCCTTTGTCGGCCGTGAAAAAACAACCCATGTTGGAGAAGGTGAGTTGGCCGTGTCCGGACAGCAAGTCTTACCAACTGGCTTAATTGACCTAGAATCGGATCAAGAGGATAGGATTTGGATGCCAAAAGTCATCGGTCTTTGCATCAAAAGAATCACAATCACTTTTAGGGTAGAACCTCTATAGCGAGAGAATGTACAAATCACTTTTACAAGGACCAGTATGATGGGGGCTGTTGCTGCTCCCACCACCTGTGCCTCAGACAGGCACTGCCTGGTCTCTGTCCCCTGACCCGGCTAACCTCTTGGGACCAAGGTGGTGGCCTGGATTAAGCAGTATTCCTTTACTGACACAGGAATAAGTCGTTCTCAGCAACAAAGTGTGAGCAGATAACTTTTAATCTGACATGGTTTAGGTTAATGCCAGGGGCCAAGCCTCCTCAGTTGGCACGTCTTCGTATGGTGTTTTAGTGCTAATTGCTGCTGATGAGTTATATTTCATAGCATTTAATTTGTTTTTCCTGCGAATTCTTACTACTTTAATCTTATTTTCTGTTTTGGAATATTGACCCGTGGATCCTTTATTACCAAACGATTTGAAGATGTTTTACCAACTGGTTAATAATGGATGCACAGAAATCAATTATTTTATTTGTCCCCAGAGTGAACCATAGGGTTTGCACACCAAGGGATGGCATCATACTGTAAGCCTTCTTTTTTTTTTTTTTTTTTTTAAAAGCCTATGGGAATTGAGGTTTTCTCATCTGGAGATTTAAAATCTTGGGGAGGCAGATCTTGGAGTAAATCAAATATAATGTAGGTAGAATGAAGACACAGAAAATGGATAGGTTCATACTGGGTCAAAGTGAGATCTTTTTAATTACCTTGAAAACCAGTAATTCTGACTAAGACTTGAATTAAGTGGTAGAAAAATATTTTGCTTTTACGCAAGTGTCTGTGAGTCTGTGGGGCATCATGCATTATGGGCATATGGCACATGGAAAAGAAATGGTAGAATAAATCCCTGTGTTCTGGACATGTATAGTAGATCCATACTTTATTTCTTAAAGAGAATAGAGCTTTTCCTTCTAAGGGCTTTTTCCAGGTCAGCCAAGCAAAGGTCCTTGAATTTTCAGGGTTACTGCTTATCAGCCAAGGCAAGTCTCTGGAAACCTTCTGTGCCCTTAGTGCACAAGAACAGCTGAGATGGAGCTAGAGTCCCAGATCCTTTATCCTGGAAGCCTGAGTGGGTGTGGGTATGAGAGCATGTGTCCAGAGGTCCTATAGAGTAAGTCGTAGGACCTCGGTAGAAGCGGGTGTATGCAAACGTGAAAGAGCCAAAACATTAAGTTCTATATGCAACTTTGCTGATCTTTCTTGAGGCCATTTGTGAGCAGGCTGTAGGTGTTACTGGGTATTCCTGGGCTCCGCAGGGGGAAAAATGTTTTTGTGAAATACATTTCTGCTTACGAAGTTATTATTCTCATACTTCTTTTGACAGAGCCTTCTTTCTTGTGATACCAAACAGATGCTGCTTCTGGGAAGGCTTTCTTTCTGGAGGGCTTTAAGGAGAGGGCTGGCACCCTTTGGTCTGGTCTGGTTGGATGTTGCTGCCATTTGTAGATAAGATATTAGACTCGAAGCCATCTGAATATCCTTCCAGACATCGCTTTCGATGATCAAGTTTAGCACAGCACTGAGAAACAGCTGGCGGGGTATCTGCTTTTCCAGGTAGCCGCCTAGCTACAGGACATCTGCATGAGGTTTACGAGGTCCTCTGCTTCTGCCTTTGGGTCTGGAAGGTGTCTTTTAACTCACGTGCCTCTCTGACGACGTGCTCATGGGTGGGCTCTTGTGCCAGGGTGTAAATTCTAAGTATTAGATTTGGGTGTGTGGGGGGAGGTGGGGTCCCCCCCCCCTCACAGAGATGTTACCTCCGGTGTAGCTTCAAGAGTAAACACCGGCTGAGTTCTCACTCACGGGGGCTCTCTTCCTAACTTCCTGAGAAATGGGTGACGTTCTGCCACTTCCTGGAGGCTGAATTAGTTCCTTCTAGCTCTACAGATTTGTAGGATTCTGAGCCCTGTGTTCATTCCTCCAAGGTAGAGTTCTCGGAGGGAGTTTTGGCTTTCCTGTCGCCTTCATTTCACTGCTTCTCTGTGTCTTTGATTTGCATTTCAAGAGCTTGGAATGGGAATAGGGACTTATTTCCTCTGTGTGTGTGAGGATTTCTCATTTTTACTCAGGCATCCAGCAAGTGACAGCTGAATTTCTCTTTAGAGCAATATTGATGTGCTGAGGTTAAATTTAAAAAGTGGAGAAGATTTGATGCTTCAGGTGGTTGGCATCAGAAACAAATATATGTTTGCTCCTTGTCTTACCCTCTGGGCAATTTCTGCTTTTACTGAACACAGCGTATGTTTCATGGATGCTACCTGGCCTTTGTCCCCATTAAGGGATGGAGCTTTTAGGCTTTTTTTCCCCCCTCCTCTTTTTCTCTCCCGTCCTAAAAAGAATGTCTTAGTTAAGGCTCCTCTCACCAGGGGAGATGGCAGGGGAGAAGACAAGCAGAAAGCTTCCTGAGCCTTCTGGAATGCACGTGCAAAAGATTTCTGCGGCTTGCTAGATTGTCCACAGGCTTCATATGCAGCCAGTCAGCTCGGTAGAACCTTGTAACTGATCTTCTCACTAGAGGTGCCTCATGTAGCATAAATAAGAAAATCATTAAAAAAAATCTTTTATTTGATTAGCCGCTAACTTGGATTGTAATCAGTCATTAAAACAAAACAAAATAAAACAAAACCTCAGGCCAACCACATGTAAAAGGTCAAGTCTGAGTATCAGTTGGGGAGGGGCAGGGGCAGACATAATAGCTCAAGTGTGCGTGCGTTTGGGGGGAGAGGCAAAAAATAGAAGCCAGTGCTCAGCGTTCTGCTGGACTTTATGCTGCTAGGTAATGGAGAGAAGGTTGCTGTTTCCAAGCCTATTTTGTGGTATAAGTAAGAGCTTGCAGTATTAATTTACCACTGGTGAGTGAAAGCCCATCCCCAGTTTGTGCAGGGCACTGTAGAGCTGAAAAACAACCAGGGCGAGAAGGGCAGAGAAGAGCTTTCTCAGACCCTTTTGGGGGGACCCTGAGCTGACCTTTGCGTTTCACTGCCCATCTGGATCCACTTCCTGAACCTGTAACATTCTGGTTCCCCTTTAGCCTTGTCCTGCACAGCATCTGTGTAGGGGGCTGGGCGGTCTCTAGAGGTTCAGCCAGGAGAAGCCTGGACCCCTGCCCTAAAGAGGCCGTACCCTGATGGGGACACCGGGCAGCACGTGGCTCTGCATGTGGTTGATGACAAAGGAGAATGTGACATGGCCCATAGCAGACCTAACATTTCATGCACCGTGGGGGCTCAGAAAAGGGGAGTGATTATATTCTTGGGGACATGTGGGAGGAGCTGGCACCGTTGACAGGCAGGTAGACTATTGTCCCGCGGGGCGTGATGAGGAATAGGGAGACCGTCCCCTAAATCTCAGATTTAGAGCTGCGCTCTCCACTGTGGGAGCCACTAGCCACATGTGGCTATCTAAATGAAATGAACTAAAAAGATACAATAAAAAATTCAGTCGCTTGGCTGCAACTTTGCCGTATTTTAAGTGTTCACCAGCCACACGTGGTTAGTGACTAGCACACCAGACTGTGCAGGTACAACATGTTTCCATCATTGTAGAAAGTCCTGTTGGGCAGTGCTGCTTTAGATAAATTCTGGGCCCGATTCTCATTTACCTTGAAGGCTTCATATCTTAGATTACAGCTGTAACTCATTTCCAACTTTGAGGGGTCTGGAGTTTCAGATTCTGTTATGTCTAGTGAATGATGCTTATTCCCGTCTTTTCTTGGATTAGAGTGAGGGGCCGAACTGAAATATTCAAGAGACTGTGCTTCTAGGTATTCTTTTCCAAAGTGGGGCAAAGAACATGAAACCTTTTACAAATTTCAGAAAGTCCACAGGAAAAGATCTGAACACATAATTACGCATAAAGTTGAGTTTTTGTGGGGGGGTGGTGGTGTTTCCAGGTCGTAGCACCTTGCAACACTTGAAATGGGATCTTTTTTCTCCTGGAACCTAGGCTGAGGGTCAGGGAGGCTGGGGGGGTGCCTCAGCTGCATCTGTGAGCCCGGCCGCTGATTCTCTTCCCCTCTCCTTCCCCACAGTGGGCGGTGAGATCCCCCTAGACATGCGCCTCGGGGGCGGGCAACTGGTGTCGGAGGAGCTGATGAACCTGGGCGAGAGTTTCATCCAGACCAACGACCCGTCTCTGAAGCTCTTCCAGTGTGCCGTGTGCAACAAGTTCACCACGGACAACCTGGACATGCTGGGGCTGCACATGAACGTGGAGCGCAGCCTCCCGGAGGACGAGTGGAAGGCCGTGATGGGGGACTCGTACCAGTGCAAACTCTGCCGCTACAACACCCAGCTCAAGGCCAACTTCCAGCTGCACTGTAAGACCGACAAGCATGTGCAGAAGTACCAGCTGGTGGCCCACATCAAGGAGGGTGGCAAAGCCAATGAGTGGCGGCTCAAGTGTGTGGCCATCGGCAACCCTGTCCACCTCAAGTGCAACGCGTGTGACTACTACACCAACAGCCTGGAGAAGCTGCGGCTGCACACGGTCAACTCCAGACACGAGGCCAGCCTGAAGCTGTACAAGGTGAGCCCCGGGCTGCTTCTGGAAGGCATGCCTCGGATCCCTGGGTGCTGGGTGCCGGGTGCCAGGGACAGGGGACGGGCTGTGTCGCGGCGGGGCTGGTGGCTGGATGGTAACCTGGTGTTGGAAGGGGAGTTGGCATCCGCTTCCTGGTGAAGCTGCAGTGCGGTGGCAGCTTCTGCCACCTGAAGGCTGTTTTTGAGAGGTGCCCGTTTCGGAGGGCGGGTTCCGTTGACAGCAGCCCGATACTTCCCCATCGACAGTGTCTTTACAGTTGGCTTTTTTCCCCTTGAGTTGTTAGTTGTGGCTTTTGTGTACCCTCGTGCTCCTGTGTTGTCCCTTTCTCATACATGCTTCATGTTCTCCCTTTCCATCTCGTCCCCACCCCGCGCCCCTTAATCTCTTCTCTCCTAAATGCCTCTGGAGGACTTAGTTCGTTTGTGCCTTGGTTCATTCCTTCCTTCGTTCGTTCATTCATCCATTCATTAGGTACGTATTGAGCACCTACTGTATAGCAGGTGCTGTTCTGGACACATGCCCACCTCCATGCACAAAACAGACAAAAAAAAATTCCTGCCCTCATGGCGCTTCCATTCTTTTGCAGGGAGGTGGGTGATAAATACAGTGCGTAGTTGACTAGAAGGTGGCACGTGCTATTGGGAAAATTGGGATCAGTTAAGGGGGCTCCTCTGTTCTTTTTGTTCTGTGCCCCTTTCTCTATCTCATGTTTGCATTTCCCCTTTTTCCCCCTGGGCTTCTTCCATCCTCTTCCTCTCCCTCTGTCTCCCCTCCCCTCCCCTCCCTTCCCCTCCCCTCCCCTCCCCTCCCTTCCCCTCCTCTCCCCTCCTGGCCCCTCCTCTCCTTCACTCCTTTCTTTCCTTCCTCCCTCCCTCCCTCCCTCCCTTCTTCCCTTCCTTCCTTCCTTCCTTCCTTCCTTCCTTCCTTCCTTCCTTCCTTCCTTCCTTCCTTTATCCCTCCCTCCATTCTTCCCTCCCTCCCTCCCTCCCCTTCCTTCCTCCCACCCCCTCCAGTCTTTCTCTCAATCCATAGACAGTAACGGTAACGGTGAGGAGGAGGTGCTCAGATACTGTAAATAGTCCTTTCACTTGCGAGGCAGAATTGCTCCAGACGTTTCTATTGATTTTCACTGGACTTAAAGCCTCACCTTTTTCTCTAATCATCCCATAATGGCTTTAGTATGAACAATCAGGTACAAATCGCCATAAATCTGCCCAGCCTCCTCCCATATACCTTCCACACCCTCACTCTCTCTTTGCATTTTCCTCCCTTTTATTATCGGCCTCCCCTCTTTCCTTTCATGCCATTTCCCACATCTTCTTCGGGGCCAGGGGGCGCTTCTTTTGACCCTGAGCTAGTTTTAATCCCCTTTCTACTCCTGGCGATTTTAAAGGGAGACTTCAAATAAGGAAGACCTCAGGTCCTTTCCCTATGTCAGTCTCTGTCGAGATTGATAACTGTAATTCATTTTACAATTGCTCGTTTTCAGCTTGGCGAGAGTCCTGGGTAGAGTGGATGAGAAACCATTTTAGGGAAAGGAAGAGAAAGCAGAAGTGAGGCAGTAGAAATAGAGGGTTCTAGAATCGCCTGCCGACTCCGGCACAGATGAGCTGGCGTGGTGCAGTGGGGAAGGTCTGGACGCCAAGCAGCTGACCCCCTTGTGTTATAAGTCAGCAAGAACCTCACTGGATGGCTTAGTTTTGTGTCACCATTAACAGAAGAGGCTCCTGGCAGTCACTTTAAGTTAGAGGTCTCCCGTGACGGTAGCGCGGTACTGATTGTGGTCAAGAAAACCTGACGGGAAACCCATAGGAAAACTATTTCCAAAGGACCCGACTGAGAAGAATTAGTTCGGAGCACCCCCCATGGTCATGGAAGACTGTCTACCACTTTGACGAAGGCTGTTTAGAGTTGGCAAGCAACTGCCCTCTTCCATCTGAGGGGAGAAAGGCCCTTTAGATTCATTATAAAGCCTACATGGCGGTGATGAACTTTCCACACTACATTCTCCAGTAAGAGTATATCACGCCCTTGACTTTGCTTCTGAGGGGCCTGGAGCCCGGAGGATTCTCTGAGATCATACTTTTTTTTGGTCCCGAGGACACCTTCACGCATCACACTTAGCAAGTCAGGTTGAGGTAGTTTCCTGGATGGATGTAAGGGAGCCATTTGTGTGTTTCCGTTTGTGTTTTGCTGAACTGTGGACACTCATCCTCCTTGGCCTTATTTTCTCTCTCTCTGTCTCTCTTTTGAATTTAAAAGATGGAGAAGACTCCTCATCAAAAAAGGCAGTGCAGGTGGGCCACAGATGTTGGGGTGTGGGATAGAACTGGGGAACCAATGTCTAAAGAAGTCTCCAAACAGTGCACTTGGCCGACACAACCCCGGGGGTGAACGTTCCCCACATTCAGAGCACAATTCTGTGTGTCAGGAGCCGTAGGTCATGAGTCTGGTCTCATTAGTCCTTGGGTAATGAATGTCCCTCTGCTTGCTGTGGCTGTGCTGTGGGGGCGGGGAGCTCTCTCACCCACCCCTGAGTGACACGGAGATGGGCTTCTTCCAATGCGTGCGCCAAGCCTTTCTGTCCTGCGGTGTGATTAAGACAGACTTGCTTTGCCGCTGAGGGGGCTCACTGTCGTATGGTGTCACGAGTCCATAGATTTGGGGTGGGGCCTGGAGGTGGTTGAGAGTCAGTTTTTCTCTAGGCCCTGGTGTGGCCTGTAGTAAATGGAGATTGATTGCATGTGATTTTTCCTCTTGCTAATGTAATCCATTAGCCCAGCACATGCATAATCAGTTTAGAGCACAGTTAACTGGATGTAATCGAGTTCTTTACTGTCCGCTAGAGAAACAGCTCCAGATGATGCTGACCTGGGGAGGGCACCAGGCTTCTCACACACAGCCCTCTTTACTCACCCCATCCTCACTTCCCACCCTGCCCCCCAACCTGTCCTGGCCCCCACCCTGCCCCATCCCGGTGCCTTGGCAAATTAGACATCATTTGGTCAGGGAAAGTCCCAACTTGCTTTGTGCTGCACCTGCTCGAGCAGCCATGGTGTACTGGACTTCCTAATGGGTCTCTCAACCCTCTCTTTCAACTGAGGTCTTTATTCCCTCCTCTTCCTTTTTCATGTTGGAGGAGCTAGAACAGCCATCTCAGGAGATGCAAGCAGAGGCGTAGCTTTCTGGTTTGTCATTTGACCTCACACCGGTCCAGGGTCCCTTCTCTTGGTGTCATAAGTGCTGGGACATACGTTGCTGTATTAACACTGAGCTGTCTGAAAGCGTGAGAGAATTTCCAATCTGGACTGAGAGAGGGTTTCGTTAATCCACTACCCCAACCGCACCTACCTAGAGAAGGGCAGAAACAAACAAAAAACCCTGCTGATATTATCACCCTTGCTTGCATGGAATTGTCAAGTTGTGATTGTGTGAGAGCAGTTTTTCAATGGAGATTAATGTTCGGTGAATTCTTCCTCCCTACCTCCTAGGAGTGGAGGCGAGTTTTGGGTGGGGGGTGGGCTGGAGAGCCTCGGGCATCAGATAAGGCTCTTCCCTTTCTCTGGGCCTCCAGGTCACTTAGTGAAACACTTAGGACTGAATTCCTTCAGTGGTTTTTTGTGTGTGTCTTGAAGAGTTGTGGGCTCTGGTCTAGCCCCTAGAGCTCCTCCGCCCATATGCTCACAGCTGCCGTGATGGGGCACTGTGCTTGATCCACCCAGTCGGGAAGAGCCAGCAGCCCCAGTCCAGCTAAGAGGCTGGGTCCTTGGTTTCTGTCTGTAGTGATTCATCTGAGCCAGAATGGAAGCGTGTCGTGGCTGGGAAAGGTACTTGTCTCTCATCGGGGCTGGAGCTCGAGAACTTGAATTCCGCCCCTTTCTGCTTTCCCTCGTAAGTGGATCACTCTTGTCTTTGGGGACCTGGCCACTCCCCCACTCCTTCCACCTGTAGAGCTGTAGAGATGCGGGGTGCCTTTGCTTACCTTAAACAAGGGAACGGCAGGTACTGACAGATGCCTGCCCTCTGCTCGTCTCCAAGCTAGCATAGGTCCTGAGTCCGCCGTGTGTGCATTCACAGCTAGTGTGGGCCCTTACGTGTTTACCTGGACTTCCCTGCTATGTGGCATCCATAGTGAGCTCCATAAAATTTGTGGCATCTTCTGCTTGAGGGAGGAGAGTGCAGAGAGGACAGATAGAGATCAGTGTACACTTGTCAGCTGTTAGGATCTGCTTTTTCTTTTGATACTTTTCTTCACCTGAGAGTCATTGGACTGGAAATCCATCAATTTTAGCAGATGGATTAAGAACCGCCCCCTCCTGCCACCACCCCCCCCCCCCCCCCATAGTAACTCTATTACTCAGAGTTCCCAGCTGAGGTGCCTTTGATTAGACCAAGCCTGATGGTTTCGTATTAACCTTAAATTATACACAGAGGAGGTCATCTCCCATGGAGTTGGGTCTGGGCCCCATGTGAGCTACCTTGGGCCAACGGGGCAGACGGTGAAACACCAGCTCTACTTGGCTTAAAGTAGAGGTAAAGTATGGCACCAGTTGACTGAAAACACACACCCACATTCTCCACATAGTGGACTTTAACACTTGCCACCCTATTGGGATTCTGTGTGGTGGGAGGAAGTAGGAAACCCTCTATCAGACTCTGAGAATCCACCTTCTCAGTTCTTCCCCAGACTCATAAACTCACTGGGGCTCTCTCCCAGCAGGGCCATAAATTAATCACAGGGTGGTTGGGCAAATCAGAAGACGTAGAACAGATCTGACAAAGATTTCCTCTTCAGTCTGCATTCTTCGTGCTCCTTTATGGGTACACTTGGGGGACAGACTGTCTTAGGAAGACGGCTGCATGATTCATGCTTCATGCTTCAAAGACTGGTAGCCTTTGTCTTGCTTGGAAAGCAGATAGCGTGGATCCTCTGGTGAGCCCTGCCTCCCTCCCTGTCCTCTCCTCCCTGGTGCGGCTACCATGTT